AGATAGGTGCTTTCTATTTAAACCTCGGAGGTGCTCCTGAAGGTCCAGCAGGCACAGGAAAAACTGAGACTACCAAGGACTTGGCTAAAGCTCTTGCTGTGCAGTGTGTGGTGTTCAACTGTTCAGATGGGCTAGATTACCTAGCAATGGGAAAGGTAGTTAAATTACTAATATTCAACTTAGAGCTAGAGCTAGCTGGATAAATGTTTAAGCATTATTTGAATGTGAGTAACTTGCTAACCTTGGTTTTAGGGGTAAAGATACTGTTTTTAAACTTGGGGCTTTTATTAAGCTTAACTTTTCATTTTGACTTAAAGGCTAAGTATTTATTTGTTTTAAGAGATTTTACCCTTTATGAAGAAAAATCACCTCTTTTTTTTTTTTTTTTTTTTCTTATCTTTAGTTTTTCAAAGGATTGGCTTCTTCTGGTGCTTGGGCTTGCTTTGATGAGTTTAATAGAATTGAGTTGGAAGTGTTGTCTGTGGTAGCTCAACAAATCCTTTGCATTCAGAGAGCCATTCAGCAGAAGTTAGAAGTGTTTGTTTTTGAAGGGACGGAGCTTAAACTCAATCCAAATTGCTTCGTAGCCATTACCATGAATCCTGGCTATGCAGGCCGTTCAGAGTTGCCAGACAACCTTAAGGTAATATTTTTTAAGAGCGTAAATTTGTTAAAAAAAATAGCAACATAGTTCTTTCAAAATGTAATCATTTCCTCCCATGTATTTGTACTCTTCTTTTCTTTTTACCTGTTCAATTTCTTGTGAGGTAAACCTCTAAACACTTTTTTCGATGTGTAAAACAAATTAAAGTACATAAAATAATAAAATACTACTGAAAAATTACAGAGCTTGTGAAAAGATGCTGTTTTGGGGGGATAAACTTGAATATCAACATAGTGTCCTTAGATGCTTATGCTCAGTTTAAAAAGTCTCCTTTATCTATTTCAAGTATTTGGTTTATTATATGTTTCAGGTTCTTTTTAGAACAGTAGCTATGATGGTTCCAAACTATGCCCTTATAGCAGAAATCTCACTCTACTCCTATGGATTTTTGAATGCAAAACCTCTCGCTGTGAAGATAGTAATGACCTACCGGCTTTGCTCTGAGCAGCTCTCCTCGCAATTTCATTATGACTATGGAATGCGAGCAGTAAAAGCTGTTTTGGTGGCTGCCGGAAACCTCAAACTGAAATATCCAAATGAAAATGAGGATATACTTGTAAGTAATAAATACATGTGAAAGTTTAAGTAAAAACATGATTTCTAGAACATCTTTTTAGTGAGGTTGATCAGGAACTATAAATAGGAAATTGAAATGGTTGCTGCTTCAATTCTTTTCATGTGGCATCAAAATGTTACTTTGTGTATTATGTTATTCTCCATATTATATGAATACAAGGACCTTTTTGGCTTGATAAACATAGTATTGGGTTTTGAATATAGGGATTTTACAGAGTGGTCTAAAACAAATTGACTTTTTTGGGGGAATAATGTTAACAATGAACTAATATTGCATATTTTTCTATTATTTTAGCTTCTTCGATCAATTAAAGATGTAAATGAACCAAAGTTCCTATCACATGATATACCCTTATTTAATGGAATAACTAGTGATTTATTTCCTGGTATTAAGCTTCCTGAAGCTGATTATAATGTAAGTAAGCTTGTGAGAATGAATTATTCTGCACAATAAATTTATCTGATGACTTAGTAGTTTATAAAATTTTATTAAATTATTATTTTAGCCACTTTAATTAATGAGAATGAGTAAATTTTAGTATGTTGTATTACTTAATACAGGTTTAACAA